ATGAGGTTTTACAACAAAAATATTCGCGTGTCATAATCTGTCAATCATAAAGCTTTTAAAAATATACAAGTGTTTAGATGTATGTCATAAAGCTGTAAAGCGTGTGTCAGAAAGTTGCAGTCACAAATTTACACTAGAAACGTCACGTGCATTATTCGATAAATTCGCGTAAAAATCGGTTAAGGTTCTTGTGAGACACTCCTTCATCGTACCTACCAAGCGTACACCGTAAATCCTGTAGTTATACCAGATTCTCTTGGAGGGAGAGCGGGGTAATTGTGTATAAATGTATAACACGTTGACACCCCCACACCTGAGTTGTTCGCTATAGCTAGACGAGCCAGTTTAGGGTGACAAATATTTTACCGAAACTGACGCCTAAAGAACGTAATGATAGAAATTCGGTCACATAAAGTATGGTTGTAACGACTCACATAGAGAATAACAATATTATTTTGAATTTACAAAGAATACACACTCTACATGTTTTCATAAAAATACAAACTACACTACACCTATTTTGGACACTAACTCCAATCTTAGGGTTTTAAGACTACAACTATTCGTATAACAGAAAATATAGGATTTTCTGGGGACACTCTTTATAATTACAAACAAAGAAAAATAAAGAACATGCATGCAATTATACATAATTTGAAATGAGACTCACAAATTACTTTTATAGTAAATCTTGGATTTTCTGGAGTTTTACAAATTTCTACAAACAAAGATATTACAAAGTTTTCTTACAAATATACTTATGAACTCACCAACATTCTAATGTTGACGCTTTTCAAAACGAATTGTATTCTTAGCAACTCAGTGAGCAGGTACTCGAGCTATGAATTTTGGATATTTGCTACATTTTTGGAACATCATATTTTTTGTCACTTTTGTGTAAAGTTGTGAAGAAATACAATTCAGTAAACAATATATGTTGATATATGTAATGTATGATGTGGTTTGCTATGTTTTCAATTATATTTAATTCTTATGATATTACAAGATGAAGTCATCCACCCCCAAACATTTCCGCCGTCCTGGTTCAAGGGTGTGACAGAATGTGAATCGCCACAGTTGTAGACCTCCATGGCATAAAACTAAATTGGCCTTTGACACCCTATCCCATACCTTCATGGTATGACTAAACAATTTAATGTCTATATAGCCACATATTTGTGCATTTCCTTTCTTCTCATAGATTGGCACCAAATTGTTAATCTCCACTCCTCAAAATGAATAACTTATTTATTTCAAATTAAAATAATTATTTCTAATGTTTTTAATAAAAAAGCATAAATTATATTTATTTAATAAAAAAATTAATTTAAACTGGATTGCTAACAAGGTAATTTTTTAACTAGATTGAGTTATGTGGCTAGAAAATAGAGAAATTAAATATATAAAACAAACTAGCGTGAATGCTCTTAATTATGAACAGTCCTACCATAATAGATGGTTCTAAAAAGACCAAAAGTATATAATTTGTGAACATATATTATTTAGTTTATAGATATAAGAATATTTTTTTTCTTAATATGTTAATAACATATTTGAAAATGTTTTAGAAACTAATCTTTTAAATCTTTTAAGTGGTGCTTGTGGATTATAAAATATATATATTTATTCATGTATCTTTAGATTAATGTAAATTCTATGTATAATTTTAATTTATAGACAAAATTGCAAACATTGTCCTTATGGTATGTATTTTTTTCCTAGGTTTAGTCCAAATCTCGATTTTTTTGGCTTCATGATCTTTTCGAGGTAATTTGTTTGTGAAATTAACCACTGTTAAACTTGAAAAGACTAATCTACCCTTTTAATTTGTTTTTCTACTTTCTTAAATATTTTCCCTTTTATTTAAATTTTTTAAAATAAAAACAAATAAAGAGGGGGCATACCTCTCTCTCTCTCTCTCTAGAAAAACACACACAAATTAAACATACATACACCTCATACACACACACATTGAAGATTCATGAGTACATGATCGGTAATGCAACCCCAGTCCCTCACCCCACCTCATCGGAATCTGCAGAACCACCATCTGCCGCCAACATTGAACAATCTAACGAATCTTCGACGAGTCCACTAGATGCTAACATAGAGATAATTGAACCCAAAGAAAAACAACCTAAAACTCCTTTAAAGAACAATACAAAAGCCCAAAACTGAAAGCCCACAACCTAAGGGTATCAGAGCAGGCGACTCTGGTTGCTCCTGCTCTAGTATCGTCAATGGTGCAGCAGCAACATAGGACATGTCTCTCTCTCTCTCTCTCTCTCTCTCTCTCTAAGTAAAAAAAATACCCCATCTTCTCTTAAACTCCACCCATCCGATCTGCAATCTGGTGAAAAAATGTCTCCACCTTCCCATTCTTCTCTCCCTGGAAAATACAATCAACAAAAATACCCCTACTCTCTCGCCCCACCCACCCTTTGGACCCTCAAGACCACCTACTATACCTCGCCCATCACCCAAACCAGACTAGGTAGCATCTCCGCCGAACACTACGTCAGAGACCATTTTCAGATGGTGGATTTAGATTAGGGAAGAAACATGTTAAGTTGATGCCCACTTTTATTACCATAAAACTAATCACCACCACATTCTCAAACCCAACACCACCACCGTTGCCGATGTGAGTATCGAAGTGGAGAAAGAAAAATTAAAACACATACATATATAGGGACAAACACGATGTCTCAAGATTCAAACTCAATAAACCCTAATATAATTTGAAATTAATTTCGAATCTAAAATCGATTTCGAGAGTGATGGGAGCTTTAGGTTGTTCTAATCCAATAAATTTTAAATCTAAAACCTAATAAACTCTAGGCAGTAATAAATGTCAATTTGGTTGTGAATGTGTATGCTTTTCTTTTGGATGAAAATGATGGAGAGAGGGGGGAGAGAGAGAGAGAGAGATAGAGAGAGAGAGAGAAAGAAAGAAAGAAAGAAAGAGAGTGAGAGAGAAAGAGAGAGAAAAAAATAGGGCCCCTTTTTATTTGTGTTTGCTTTTAAAAATTTAAATAAAAGGGAAAATGTTTAAGAAAATAGAAAAATAAATTAAAATAGTAGATTAGTCTTTTCAAGTTTAACAGTGACTAATTCAATAAACAAACTAGACAAAACTACAACATTGGTCCTGTAGTATTAAAAAAAAACTATGGATAGTGTCTAAAAAGTTTCCAACTTGCATAGAAAATTCAAAATCAAAACATTTATATGTTTTGATCCATAAAATATTACAAAATTTCTGGTGTTAACTTTCTAAGTTCCACAAAGAAGGAATTCAAGTTTATATACAATAATAAACTAAAATGTATGTTTTCTAGTAACCCTTCTTTAATTTCGAAAATAGCAATCTACTTTAGGGTTCTTGAATTCAAATTGTTGTTGCATATCATAGTGAGAACATAAATCCTTTAGGGTGTATGCAAATTTAAGATTTTATGTTTTCCACAAAAAATATGATTTTTGTTATCTGAAAAACCCATCACATAGAGCATCAAGTCCTCAACCTTCGCAACAAAAACAACTGAAGCGAACCAATCACTCGTCTCTTAAGTACACAACCACTGCATTACGAATCTTCTACAAATTTGGGTTTCATCTTCTATGAAGCCTCCAATCTAATCACTTGCAACTATATACATATATCGAGATTTAAGTTTTTTTCCCTCTCTTTCTACATCTATTTGATTATTATGTAAAATATTTGGGTTTATGTTGTTTATTACACATGGATGAATATGTGTCGTTTGTTGAAACTAATTCTCTGATTAAACCCAAAGTTGGCCCATGGTCAGAGCAAATTGGATGACGAATGTGTGTTGTTTGTTGAAATCAATCATATGATTAAACCTAGGGCAAGCCCATGGTAAGAGCAAATTGGATGACGAACGTGTGTCGTTTGTTGAAATCAATCCCTCCCCCCCCCCAAAAAAAAAAAAAAAAAAATTACAAAGGTCCTCTATAATGTTTGTTATATTGGACAGCCCGATATATTTAATGCTGATGGACTAATTCTTCAAAGGCCCAATCTAACCAAACCAGGCGAGCGCCCATCCAAAAGAGGGAGCTGGAGCGAGACGACGAGACCTAGCGTGCGTTTCCGATTTCGAAGGCGTCATCAACGCTTCAGTCGATTTCTATGGAAACTCCAAAGGACTTCCACTTCTCCAGAAGCCAACAGTTAGTTATCTGTTGTTTACTTTTTCTAACGGCTAATCGATTTCTTATTTTCTTATTTTCTTATTTTCTGATTTCTGAATTCTTCCATTCTGAAATAGCACCGATAATCAGTGAATCAGAACCGAAAGTTAGAGCCGAAATTGATTTCTGAGTCGCCGAAAATTTCTGAATCTCTTTGTGAATCGCCGGAAGTTTGAAGTTTCAGTCTTTCAGAATCGAGTGAGAGACGGAATTGATTTCTGAATGTGAATATGTGTATGTAAGTTCTAGCCTTATTGAGTGTAATTCACTACAAACTCCATTGCAAAACGATTGATAAGTATACTCCCAATGGTTCCTGCTTAGAAAATATATGTTACATATGGACCTGCACTTCAAAAAGGTTGTTTGAATTCACATATGTATAAATCTATATGCTTCATAGTGTATTATTGTCACAGTAAGATATTCAAAATCCTCAAACCGAAATATAAACATCTCATCTACTCATTATTGGCGGACATGTTTCAGTACCTGGTGATTCCTTCTTCTTATAAAACTAGTATAAAGAACTTGACTAGTATGCTACAAACTCCATTATGTACAAATCAACATTGTTCAGAAATTTAACTATTGAGATACAAGTCGATTAAGCTGGAAAATGTTTGTTCAATAGAAATCTCTGTTTGATCAGACTCCTGGGACTTCATCTTTTCAAACCTCCCTCTAAGTCCTTCAAACCAGAAAACTTGTCTTCAGACATAATTACATTTATGTTTAGTTCCTTGATTTTGATACAAACCTTGAGCCTTGATGTCCCTATGAACCATTTTGAGCATGGACTCCTCATGAAGGAATGTCAAGCCTTTTGCAATGCCAACACAAATTCTCTGTCTTGTAGGCCAATCAATTTCCAGCTTAGAGTTATTGTCTCAATGTCCTCTGAGTCTGATTAAAAGAATTTTAATCAAGAAACTTGTGAATGGAAGATAGACTCTCTTTGTGGAACTAAAGATGCCACATTTTCCATTTTGAGGTGTCCTATTTAATCTATAACACTTTGTTCTTATAGGAGCTATTGAAGCCTTGATTCCACCTCTTAGCAGTGTCAACTTCTAAACTATCATCTTATAACTGTGTTATAAGCTATAACAACAACATTCAGGTTTGTCCTAACTTTTCTTGATCATTTATCTTATGTTCTATTTTTGAACAACAATGTTTAATGTTATGATTTGTACTTTGATCTTCTGATCTCTAATTTGCAGAGTTACTACTTACTAGTCAGCCATGGCTGATTTTTTAACATCAACTCACCGAGCCAAGTGGATCTTCACTCCACAAGATTTAGTACACAACCTGACAACCTTCTCATATTCAATTCTTTAAAACTCTTTCAACTAATTTAATTTTCTTTGAATAATCTTTTCCAGAAAGAGAAATACAAAGCTGCAAATCATAGAGCAAAACAGATGCTGGAGAAGGTATGCAATCAAAAACTTTGACTTGTATAACCAAACATAATATCATTAAAGGGCAAAAAAGTAATTTTGGACAGACATCTTTGTGTAGTATGGATCAACAAGGGTGGATGTTGATCTTGATGGCTCTTTATCATATCCAGAGCTCCAAACTGACCCAAAAGACAATGGTATTTACCATTTACTATTTAAAAACCAATATCTGAGTTCACTCACTGAGTTAACTCTTCTATTATCTGATTACTTTTTACTTTTTATAAAAGGCGAGAAGCATTCACGTTCAAAACCACTTAAAATAGACGAAGAACAACTTTTGCGTGCATTTTATGAGTTCAAAATTCAAGATGTATGTGATGCCTTCAAATTCCCTAGGAAAATACAGGTATACTTTAATTCTATGTGTTCAAGTTTATAAAAAAAATAGTTTTTTAGTTCTTGAATTTTTATATAATTTGCAGGCGACAGCTCTTATATATTTTAAAAGATTCTATCTGCAATGGTCAGTGATGGAACATCATCCAAAAGACATCATGTAAAACCTAATTTAACCTAATTTTATCTTTAATAATTTTTTTATTTTGTTTTTTTGAAATTGTGAGTTATTGGATTTTATAAAAAGGTTGACTTGCATATATACGGCATGTAAAGCTGAAGAAAATCATGTGTCAGCTGAAGAACTTGGTAAAGGGATTGATCAAGATCATCAAGTCATTCTCAATAATGAGATGATTGTTCTTCAGGTATGAATTTATTTTTATTTTTATTTTTTGAATTCATTTTGTTTTAAACATTTTTTTTTTTTTTTTTTTTTTGCAGTCTCTTGGATTTGATCTTATTGTGTATTCGCCATACCGTTCGATTGACGGTTTTATTGACGATATGGAGGTTAACTTTTTCTTACTTTTTTCTTTTTAAAAAATAAATTTTTTTTTATACGTAATATTTGTTTCTTCTACTTGTTATTTAGGATTTTATCTATTCAAACAATGGTCAACTTGAACATCTGAAGGTGCTTTTTACTTCTTACTTCTATCCTGTTAAATATATTATAAATTTTTTTGATTTTTGAATTTTTGATAAATAATGTTTATAGGATTTACACGAGACAGCAAAAATGGTTGCAGATAGAATGATGCGTTCAGAGGCACCTCTTTTATTTTCTCCTGGACAGGTATTATTTTTATTAAAATAAATTAAATTTGAATATATAATTTGAATTTATGAAATCTTCAATGTTGTAGCTTGCATTGGCTGCTCTGCGTAGATCAAATGAGGAGCATCAAGTTGTTGACTTTGAAAGGTTTAAATTGTTTCTATTTTTTAGCTCTTCATTTTTTTTTAATTTTTTTGTAACAAATTCTTTTATATATATTTTGTTTTATACACACAGATATTTGAATAACACGCTTTCTCGTCAGCATCCAGCACGACCTGTTTCTGAACTCACGGTTTATCTTAATGCTATTGACCAGCTGGTAAATAATGAGATGATTTAATATTTTTTAATATGCAAAATAATAATAATATAATACTTTTTGGTTTATTAAATTAAATAATATAGGTGAATAATCTTGTGACACCTACTGCTGCTGATATGAAACACATTGATCGGAAGCTGAAATATTGTCGGGATCCAGGCTCTCATGAAAAGTACACACACACACACACACACACTCTCATTGGTTTTGATTTTTATATGAAAAAGATTCTTCGAAAGACATCAGTGAAATGTCTAAAATACCCTTTGGGTTGTGAATTCAGGAGTAAGAAACGAAAGCATAGGTCAAAAGAGTGAACACTTTCAGCATTGGTTAAGATTTTTGGGGAGATTGCTTTATCTGGATGCAGTGGAAAATTCTGGTGCAGAAACGGTTAGTGATTTTTTTATATCGATAAGATTTTTTTTTTAAGATTTCTTATTTTTTTTTTAATATCTTGTGAACAGGTATGGGCATATTGGGTTAAATGTTATATCGACAGATTGGCAATTGGCTTGTTTTTATCCAGCAATTTGAAAGAATTAATATGAACAGATGTTTGATAATAACAAGTTTTTTTTTTTCCATGATTGCAAAAGTTTTAGATTCATATTTCATTTTCTTCAACTATATACATGTGGTGCTGACATGGCATTCATGTGGATTTTTTAAAATAATCTTTTATTTTAATTTGTTCCCTTTCCTGTTGATCTTCAAGATTAAAATGGGATAAAACACAATACAATTTCAAGGTCAGCAACCTCTTCATCAGAAATCAAATATGGAATAACACACACAAGAAAAAACCAAAGAAACTACGAAATCAATGCTTCAGTACATTTGTGGTTCCTCTTTATTCTTTGATCGCATTTAATCTTTTTAATTTAGTTATAATAATTACTTTGGAAATATATATATATATATATATATATATATATATATATATATATATATATATATATATATATATATATATATATGGAAAAGTGAATATACCTTTAAGGATATATAAACTTAGGTACCCAAAAACATCATAGTACGTCGTTTTGTTTGATATATTCATTATAAGGTTCTTAAACTTCAATCCTTAACTTGATTTAATTTCAAATTTTTAGAAATTTCACTATTATATTTCTCTTATGTTACATTTTTTTGTCGAACACTTATTAAGTTATATTTATTGTAGTTGAAAATGGAAATTAAGAGGAAGATAAATGTGTAATTTATAAAAATCATGGAAGTAAATCAACTTAGAAGTTAAATTATAAGAACATTGGACAATTATAATATATTATATGATATAAAACAACGTATTATGGTGAATTTGGGTACTTAAGCTTATATACCCTTAAGGGTATATTCACTTTTCCTATATATATATATATATATATATATATATATATATATATATATATATATATATATATATATATATATATATATATGGAAAAAGTAAATATGTGGCTGTTATGTATGTAATATTAGGTATAGAACTATCAAAATTGTCTTCATTTTTATTAAAAAAACACAATTTTTTTTTTGTTAGCATCTTTCTATTGCTTTTGAGTTCATTTTATTCCTGATTTTATAATTTATCTCTATATATATACTTGTATGATTCTTTTTGATGTGTTATGGGAAGAAGTTTATTGGGTTTTTAATGAACAATTTTAATCTTTCACTATAATTTTCTATATTAAATTTAAATATGAAGAGTTTTAGGTAGTTGATAATGTATTTTTATACATGGTTTGTGGTGCAAAATAAAATATTTAGAACTCCATAAAAATATGTACAAAGCCTATCATCTACTTTAATAGTGAATATATGAAAGATGATAGAAAGATTTGATTGTATTTTGTTAAAACTATGTAGTTTTTGATGGTTCTATATCTAATATTAGGTACATAACAACCATATATTCCCTAAACCCTATATATATATATATATATATATATATATATATATATATATATATATATATATATATATATATATATATATATATATATATATATATATATATATATATGTGTGTGTGTGTGTGTGTGTGTGGAGGCCATGTCAAGGCCATCTCTAAGGTGGGTCATAATTTGTCTTTGACATGCTATTGGAATCTTGGCTCATTCGATACTAGTTCGCTACTAATTGTACCCTCCAAACTCTTAAGTAACCCACACTTACCATTTTATATCAATCACATTAAAAAGAGTTTTGACTTTTATTTTATATTTTCTGTCATTTTGTTATCCTCTTTATTATTATTATTTTAATATTTTTTTTTGTTGTGGCAAAATATCAAAAGGTACGATTTTTTTTTTCATGTGAATCACTCTGTCCCTTTATATCACAGAAAATTTATATGAATGGCATTTGATTCTTCATGGGTTTATAACTGACAATCAAATTTCATCTTATGTTATAAAATGAAATGAATTGAATGACAATACGAATCAAAGGCTTTCATCAAACTACGATAAGAAGATTTTTATCAAACCGAAGGCTTGCACTATTTTGTACACGTCTAAAACTCTATATAGGCAAGAGATAGTTTTCACAATGACCATATATTATTTTTTATTGATAGCTTTAATATATTTTTTGGATGTTGTATGTTCGTAAGGCTTACCAAATATTATAATTTGATTTTTTTTTTTTTCGTATCTTAGGTGTTTAGCAATAGTAAAAATTTAATGAAATGAGTACAGAATACAGGACAATCACTTAGGTAAATCATTGTTATTAAAAGAACAAAGACATGACCAAGTAGCTATGTGCCAAATTATTTTAATGTTTAATCGGGATTGTATGCTTACTATGTAGTGGTTGAGAGACGTCCACCGGAGATACGAGGACAAGAAAAACAAACTGTCCATTCGAATGTTTGCTTGTGATTATAAGACTAATGATGTTTGGAGGTTGAATATTAGAAACGATCAACATGATCATGAACTTGCAATGTATGGATGGTCATTCATTTATAAGGCACTCGATTCAAAATGAATTACAAATTTTTGTAGAATTGAGAAAGAACAATGATCCCCATATGACATTTTATCAGCGTTGAAGAGTCAAAATAAGAATAACTTATCTATAATAAAAACAGTTTACAATGCGCAAAACAAAGTTCGAATGGATGATTATGCAGGATAAAGTCAAATGTAGGTTGTATTCGAAATTTTGCATTCAAAATGATATATATATATATATATATATATATATATATATATATATATATATATATATATATATATATATATATATATATATATATATATATCAAGGTTACAAAAAACGCTCGATGTTAACTAGTCGGTGGATTAGGGTCAAGGGATTAATCGGCTAGGCAGAGATTAATCGGAGGATTAATCGGGTACCATTAATTGCTAATTTATTGAATTTTAAGAAATTAAGTATGACTAATATCATATCAAAATTCGTAAATACCATCAATATGATAACAAAATAGGTTAATATGATTAATACAACACTAGTCATACGTCAAATAGTTTCCATTGAGATAAAATTTCTTCAAAATGTTAAAATTTCATCGTTTTATAATGTTTCACTCATTATGTATGTAAGGATTAATCGCTAGGTGCCCTCTAATCGGTCGAGTAGCGTTTAGGGATTAATCGGAGATTAATCGGGACCTAGTCGGGATTTTTAGAACAGTGATATATATATACATATATATATATATATATATATATATATATATATATATATATATATATATATATATATATATATCATGGTTGCAGAAATTGGAATTAATCGGCAATTAATCGTTTGGTGTTCTCCAACCGTCGAGGATTAGGGTATTAATCAGAAATTTAGGATTAATCGGGTTTGGCAGGATTAATCGGTCAACAAAAGTAAAAAAAGTCAAAAAAAAAAAAGTGTCAAGAAATTTAAAAAAAAAAAAAAATCAAAGAATAAACTTTTTTTTACTCCAAAATTTCAAATATTATACCAAAATGTTCATATTTTTGTATTTTCAAATTTTCAAATTACAAACTTTCTTATTTTCTAATTTTGAAGTACTTGTTTTTCTTAAAATATACTAATATTTGATTAATTTTAATATTTTATTAATAATCTATGGTCTCCGATTAATCTCCGCCAAGATTGATTAATCCCTTAACACCAGTCGACCGTCGAACTACCGCCGAGTGATTTTTACAACTTTGATATGTATATATATATATATATATATGTGTGTGTGTGTGTGTGTGTGTGTGTGTGTGTGTGTGTGTGCGCGCGTTTAGGTTCATTTGAGACCATGTTAATTTTGTTAAACCGTGAGACGTGATCTAAAAATAATTTTAAAATGCAAAATAAAAGGAAAAATCCAAAAATTCCTTTTTATTTATTATTTTCGTCATTTTATTTACCTAAAATAAATAAATAAAATTTACCGTTTTTTTTAAATACGTGAAATATTGTAATAGAATATATTACACTGTAAATATTCTAATGTGATTTTTAGAATATTAGAATATTCTAATATTCTATTAGAATATTTCACAGATATTTCAAAAAAATGGTAATTTGCTTTATTTATTTATTTTTTTTTTGGAAAATATAAATGATGAAAATAATAGTTTTTAAATTTTTTTTTGAAAATTTTCAATTATTTTGCATTTTTAAAATGTTTTTTTATCTACAAAATAAATGGCTAAGATTGCGTCTCACCGTCAAACAAAATTAACTAGTCTACTTGTCTAACTACACTTTACAGTATAATAACATCCTAATTGTTGGAAAGAGTATCCAATATTATTAACTATTGATAATATTTATAATAATAATATGGTCTTTTTAGGTTTTCCTCAAGACCCAAATTGAATATAATAAATGAAGGAGAAATTAGTTTATCGGTTATTATGTTTAATAATTAATTAGAAACTAATTGAAAATATATTTTACGAATTAATTGAACAATTTAATTAATTAAATGATTGAATATTCATTAATCGGTAATTGGTTGATCAGTACTGTTTCAGAACCCTTCTGAGATTAGGGTTTGGACGAAATCTCTCTTGGATAAAAGGGAATTTCGAAATTTGCATCTCATCCCACGTGGGATGGAATATAAAACCTAGGAAATGATCCAAGATTATAAATATGATCTTAGGGATTTCAATCTTCCTTGCTCCATTGGCTTGACTTTTTTTCCACCCTTCTTCCTCCCTCCAAGGGACCATCTCTAACCTCTTACGATTTATGAAATTGACCATTCTTCTAATTATTTTTATCTACTTTATGGTGATTGGGTGTGATACTATAAGAGGGATTCTTGTTTGGGTCCTCTCATCCAAACAACGTCAAGGAGGACAAGATCTCAAGCATGGAGCTCAAAAACTACATAAGAAGTATGTTATTCTTCTTTATGTTTTATGTTTTCATAAAGTAGTTGTAATTAGTATGAAACTTAGATCCTTATGTTATTCTTCTTTATGTTTTATGTTTTCATAAAGTAGTTGTAATTAGTATGAAACTTAGATCCTTAGGTTGCATGTACACTTAGATATATTGTGACGGTGACTTATTTGGGGTTGATTTGTGATGGTTTGAATATATATGAAGAAGTTGTTGCCAATTAATTGAAAAAAAATCAAAATTGTTCCGATTAATTGAAAGAGAAAATGTCATCGGAAAATGATAATTGCAACAATAGAGGGGAAAATGACGTTTCCATATATGGCTCTTCCCCCTTCCCAAAAAGCAGCGCGACATTTGAGAGTTGCAAACATAGGGACTAGCATTCAGAAATAAGATTTTGTATCGTCAAAAAGTATTGCTGATCGAGAACAATTAAATGTTCGACAATTCAACTCTTTAATTTTGTGGAAGCTATTAGTATTAGTGGTAGGTCGCCATAGAAGTTGTTCAAGATGTTGGATTTACATGATTACTTATTGGATTTATTACCCAACCTTAACGGCATAGATACTCTCCATATTTTTTTATTACTTATTACTTATTGGATTTATTACACGATTACTTATCGGATTTTTTATTCATAACCAACCAATCGAATCAATCATGAACAATGGCGTTGTTGAGGGACCAACGGCATAAAAAGTTGAAACATATGGACCATTCGTGCAACTTAGAATGACAATGATTTATTAGGCAAGTAAACTCTAAGTCTAATGACATATTGCATAAAAAAAGATACTTTAGACCGAATCAGGCTATAAACATAAATTTTTTGTGCTACAGTAAAATATGTAGCCATACCAAAATGAAACATGCAACAAGAAATGTAACTAATATCTTACTGGTAAAAGCAAAACCAGGTAAACTAAGTTTAGCTAGTAGCATCATGGTTCAAAAAGATCAAGCAAGAAACAAAGGTAACTTTAGGAACCAAAACTATCAACCTATTCCATACTTAAAAACAGTCCCGGAATTTGAATTGGAATTGGAATCAGAATCGGAACCGGAATCACGCATTGCCAGTTGACTTGAAGTGATTGTCATCGATCGATGAGTAAATCAGCCCCTCAATTACCATCCCATCAATCGCCTCCCTGTTCATATTTCAAAACAATCAAAACATATTCTCTAATCATCATTTATCATTTATCCAGAAAACAGAGGATTACCGAATCTTGTCTAAAGAAAGGCCCAACTGCATAGCAATTTCTTCTACATGTACTCCTGATTCCCTTGATCTGAAAAATACAAACAACTTATATACAATTGGAATTTCACATAATAAAACTAAAATAAAACCAAACAACTTACAAATTGGCTGGAAGTAGCAAATAATTCAACACCATTTTATCAACTCCATTCAGTCCATCAACCATATATTGACCAGTGAACTACCAAATCACAAAGTTAACATGATACAATAAGTAATATTTCTCATGATTAAAACTGTAGAAAAGACTCTAGAAGGTTTACCTGATTTGATGGAGCAGTTTGGTATGATTGTGTGTTAATCCCTGAACTTGGCATATGAGATTGATTACTAGTACCATTACTACCAGCTTGTTGCTTCTATCACAGACAAACAAAAAAAAATTCAAGTATTCTTATTTTAATATCATGTGTTCAAAGTTAAGAGTGTAAAGTTGTGAAATTTTACCATTAACTTTGTGTTGTAAGAGTGGACATGTATGCATTCAACAAAGTGATGTGTGATCTCATCAAAATCAATCACAGGTCTGCAAGTTCAACAAAAATCATAAACACAAAAGTGATTTAGTTGAATGATCAAATTGTTAGAGAAAGGAAGGGAGTTGAAGATGGAAATTATACTTGATACCAAAGACCACTAACTGCTTTTTCCCTTGAAAGCCTTTCAGTTGACCATGAACCCGAACGTACATTCCCTCCCTAGATTTTCAGAAACAAAAGAAGAGAATGTCAGAATTTCCAATCGAATCTCCATTAGAAAACCTAGAAAGAATTGGGGATTTACTGTATTGCTTCCATCTCCTTCGTGTCTACTGGTTCATGAACCCTAAAACATCACAAACACGTAAATTATATTGAAAAAATACAGAATAGGAGGGAGGATAAATGTAAGCATAAGATAAATCTGATACCATCTGTTGCAGTCTATGCGACCTGTGCCATCATCAAGCAGAAAGGAAACATCTGTAACCCTCTCAGCTTTGTTCAATATCATCCCTACCAACTTAACCTAGGTTCAACAAAAACTAAGGTACTCAGTAACTTTACTGAGTAGAAAAATTAGTAAATATGAGGATTTTGAATGGAAACGAAACCCTACGTTGTTTACATCAACGCCGTCGATGAGAAAGTTCACTTTATCATCATTCGACAACAACGCTTTGTTAATTTGCTTCACAGTCAAGGGAATCAGCGTATGTGTATCACGATTCTGCAAATAACAAAATCAGACGCTGTGAGACCTAGCGATAAACATTTAAATCGGACAAAATTGGAGGTTTAAGGAAATGATGGATACCTTAGTAGACGAAGAGGGCGCAGGGTCCGTATTCTGAGTGGTCTGAGAAGGCATGAAACCACCGCCTGAGAAGGCGGCGGCGCCGTCGAACTGACTTGCGTTTGCGTACATCTTTTTCGTATCAATCTCAAAATAAGATGCAAAATATCAGCTGGTGATTCTTCTTAAAGAAGAAATTGTGCTTCACAAAATGTTGTTCCCGCCAATTTCCTCCCCCTTTCGCCGGTGAAACTAGGGTGAGAAGGACGGGTACCGGGTCGAAATACCCGGATCGGTCCCAAACCCAGTTAAGTCCAAATTCGAAATATGATTTCCATTTTTTTCTATTTTCTTTTCCTTTTTTAATTTACTAAAATATATAATTGTTACAAAATTGGAATAAATGTTGTAGAAATCGTATTTTAGGGTTTGCAGTTTCAAAAATATTTTATTAAAGTTAAGTAGTATTTATTTTAATTTGGAATTTAAGATAACTTTAAATATTTTATTGTATTCCTTGTAAGTTTTTTTTTTTTTTTTTTTTTTTTTTTTTTTGAACGGCGAATAATATTAATAAAAACGAACCACTACTAGTAAGTAACTAGCAGGGGAACGGAAGTACAAGGTCGAAGCAGAAACATACATGGAATGATATACATTATTATGAACTTATAGTATAAATGGAAACACGGTCCAGTTATCCCAATCACCTATTCCTTCATTGCCCTTGTACTTTGTCCAGAAGTACACCATCGACTTACTTGCCGCTGCACCATAAATGGGAGTATGAAATACTCCATTGAACACCCGCTCATTCCTAAGTTTCCACAGGATCCAGATTAGGTCATGACATATGTTGAGGAATCTTATCGCCTTCCTTGGGTTGCTTCCCCAATTTTCTGCAAAAATGATTAATTCTCCAACCGATGAGAACTCAACCTGTTGTAAACCACACCAATTGAAAATAATATTCCTGACTTCACATGCGAATGGACATTGTACCAGGATATGATCAGAGCATTCCAATATGTTAACACAAGCGCCACAATTATCATTTTCTATATCAACCCCTTTGCATTTCAATGCCACTGCGGATGGAATCTTCCTTTGTATCGCTCTCCATATAAAATAGTTGACTTTGATCGGAGTTACCTTACTCCATTTAAAAGTTGGTAAGACACGATTAGGGTATTGTAAATGTTCCAATTTTTTCCTGCTTAAATTATCTTCAAAAGTATATATAATTATTTTCTTATAGGGTTAGTATAGCATATTATAAATAAGGCATTTGTCATTATAGTTTTTTAGGTTTTGAGAATTAATAAAATATACAAAACAATTTGTGAAAACTCTTAAGAATATAAATTGTTCATATTATTTGTTATCATTGAGTCCCCTCATTTCGTTGAATCTTTTTCCGCATCAAATAGTTTATATTTAGATAATATAAATATTATAATAACATTATAATATTAACATCTCGTTTCTTTCAAAAGACCGCAAAACAAAGTCAGACATACAAAATAAATTCGGACATACATAACAACTGCCAAACAATATATAATAAGTCCGAACTAGTTGCACATATATGGATTATCATGCCAAGGTATGATGAAAGCTTTTTAAATGATGTTTATTTTATGATTATAGTATGTACTAGATGTGAAACTCGTACGGATTTATTAAAAATAAAAATTTAATATGAATATATATAAACATTAAATATTTTATAAAATAAAGTTTTTCTATAACAAAATATAATCTTTTGAAGTATTTATGAAACAAATCAAAACGTTTGGAGCATTTATATTATTTTATAATCAAATTAATACAATCATAACCTTACATATATAACCCGTTAGAATTTTTTGAAAATTTATTTTAAAAAAATTGAAATGCCCAAAAATAAAATCCTATAAAATGACATGTGTTCATATGAAGGAGAAGACGACAAGTGGCAAAAAGTATTTTCATTTATTAGGGATGATTATTATTTATTATTTGACCGAACATGTTTATAAAATTTGAATATGTCGTTACAACATTGTAGTATTTTTATAACTAATTGAAATGAAACATTAGAAAGATTTTGTTTTCTTCTAAATTAGTAAAATAGAACACCGTAAAAATGGCCTTGTATCAATCTCTAACAATCATGACAATTTCATCAAACATCCTATAGCGACATCATTATTCTCGAAACAAAAGTTGAAATTACATAAAACACATGCATACAAATACCCTTTAAGTAAAATGTTCATTTTAATCTTTTATGTATGGCACCCTTTTCCTTTATTATTCTTCTCATGTTTTTCATGGAGTGCAAATCAAATTCACCCTATCCTACACTTCACATGATGAATCACTTAAAGAAGACCAATAATTAAGAAAGAGATAACAATGAACCCACCTTACTAAACCCGCTTTTAAGTCTTCATAATAAGGTTTTAATGTAATCTTTTAACGCCTTGAAAAATTCTTGCTTGATCTTTTTTTCCAAAACCAAAATCGCCAAGGTGTTGACTCTTTAGGCTCATCATAAAGATCAAAATTTGGTCGAGAAAATGCCAAGCTTTGTATTGCGGGTGGTGGTGTTGGTGGTGGAATAATCTGTTCACGTTGTTGATGTTTTGGTGTTCCTGGTTGCATTTCCCAATCGAAAGGCACCCCTTCATTTAGGGTACTACGATAATAGACACATGATGATTGACCCACAGATGAATCTCTTGAAAGAGTCTTGATGCAAGATGAAGGGCTTTGAGGCATATTCATGTCTCGATTTTCCATTTATTTGCAATAAGAAATGAGGGAGGGGGTGTTAAGTGATAAAAAGAATTATGGATGGAAAGTTTCCTATTGGTCTTCTTATAGATGATGTTGTAAGGCACGTAGGGCATTTAAAAATATAAGTGACAACCACGTTAAGGTATATAAAAGTACTTCTGTTTATTAATTTTAAATAATAAAATGAAAATCAACTTTTCAAACATGAAGCAACCCCAAAAGTTGGTGGAAATTGTGGTCATGTTAGGGATACATTATTTTGATAAAGAATCAACAATAATTGATAACATATAATATTTAGAGGGTCTTTGGGTATTGAAAATAATTACTTGATACTATTAAACTTAAAAATAGATAACTATTTATAATAACACGGAGTTATGGAGATTAGGTATTTGATTGGTTGAAATTCTAATAACAAAACAAGAAGTTATTTGATTATTTAGTAATTCTGATTATTCAAGTTATTATTAAATAAAAGACTATAAATGATACATAAGAACTTTTCTTACGATCTACTACTACCACACTAGTAAATATAGTGCAAAGGGAACATTGAATTTTTGTAGTTGACTTTTTGGGAGGATGAATTTGACCCAGAAAAGTCTATTTGATTATTTGGTCGGTAGATGTTTCTGTTATATAACAAGTATCCCCACATATTCATATCTAGCAGTTTGACTTTCAGAATCAAACATATTCCAACTTTTTATATGAATATTTTTCTTCATAAGAAACTAGATCAGATTGCATGAATAAACGGAACTCCACCAAATGAGAATCAGCTTATGAAAAACTCTTGGCTTAATGCTTTTAAACCATGATTCAAGAGATCTAATGGCTTTGTAATTATCACCGGAAGCAACTACACAGTAACATGGAAGCACCAACTAAATATAATAAAATATGACAAAATGCATAAAACCATTACATTTTAGTATTTTTTATGGTTTAACAATTATATTTAGTTTTATCAATGAATAACCATTTTGACATGGTATGAGTTGTTATATCAAGTCAAAGTAATCATTTTTTTTTTTTTGTCAAAGATATATAGTGTATTTATCGAGTATTTAGTTAATGCCAAAATTTTCATTAAAACTATTAAATTTTTGACAAATTTTATAAGGAAACTCAATAAAAATTTTATGTTTTGGTTTCATAATCGATTTAACTTTTATATATATTTTTTAATTCAATTAAATCCCAAAACCGTAAATTACCATTTTATCTGGACAGGTCATCCAATTTTTAAAAATTACACTTTTAGTCCAAACTTTAAATTTTACAACAAATTTGTTCCAAAATAAACATTTTTTGCCCAAATTTCAAAAATTCGTTACGAATTCATTCTAACTTTAGTAGACTCGAGGGACATAACTAGACTCGGAGGGTGGACCCAGTGGACTAAAGGTCCGATACGGCGGACCAGTCACACAGTAGACCCGATATGCATGGTTGTTCTGTGATCGGTTATGATATGACATGTTATATGTGTATGGTATATGTGGTTGGTATTTTGGGGGTATCTCACTAAGCTTTCGGGCTTACAGTTGTGGTTTAATGTTTTTTTCAGGTTCTTCAGGAGACCGTGGCAAGGCGAAGGCGTGATTGTACCGCTCCTCGTGTTTATGTTTTATGTTATGGTTCTGGGAATACTTTGATAATAAATGTATTGAAAACCTTTTTGTAATAATTTAACGAAATCGGGTTCTTTTCGAAAAGTTAAAATTGGTTGGAATTTTTCGATCGTTACAAGTTGGTATCAGAGCCTTGGTTTGAGTGAATTGGAGGAACATTCGTGTGAATCCAATCTCAAATTAGGGAGAGTTTTTAAAAGAGAATTTAAAATGGTTTTCAAAATAAGTAAAAGGACGACGCAGAGGTAAGATCAGTCGGAGCCAGTAAGTAACCCCAAAATACCATGCATGATATTTGTTTTCGAGCATTGATAGAACATCATGCTAGTACTAGGCTAGGGATCTTCAGGATTTCATGATAATGTTGCATGTTTTATGATGCCTGCTAGCCAAGGGTTTTCTTCTGTATGAGATTTTCAGTGTTCCTTTAGGAGTGAGGATTGAGTGCTTGCTATGTATATTTATCACTAGGGTGTTGTGGTAGTACTTCATACAAATATGGGTAGGTGTGGAAGGTAGTATGGGCCCGTACTACTGAAAGCACAGGACCCATACGCGTATCAAGGAAACCATGACCTCTAGGGTTGAGTTGGGAGTTGGTTCCCAGGTTAGTGGGAAGTATCTGAGATTTTGTGGTGTATTTCAGTATGGTGGTTACAAGGCATGCTGGGAGCGGATCCGGGTCGGGGTCGGGAGCAGCACAGGGAGTTTCGGGCGGGTCAGTACCGCCCGAGATTATTGGTCAGATGAGCACGTGCGAGTTGGATGCGAGGATTCGTGAGATCCTGCAGGATGAGGTTGCTGCGTTGTTCCGGGCCGAGCTGTCGTAACTGTTTGGGTTGATCAAGACCGCTATGGTGGAGTATTTTGATGAGTGCTATGCGGCTCTCACTGAGACGACTGCTGTGGCGGCTACAGCGGCTGTAGCAGCGACAGGGGGAGGAGCCGGACGGGGTTTTCTGTATCAGGACTTCGATAATACGAAGCCTCCTACCTTTGATGGAGTTCAGGACCCGATTGTTGCTATGAGATGGTTATCGGACGTGGAGGGGTGTTTCTTCACGTGTTCGTGCCCTGCTGATCAGAGGGTGAGGTGTGCTCTGAACCTGTTGAGGCTCGGGGCAAAGGATTGGTGGAGATTGACCATGGGGTCATATTTGGATGCGCAGAGGGTTGCGGTTTCATGGGATCAGTTCAGAGAGATGTTCAACACTCGTTATGTTCCGCGGGTTGAGAGAGAGAGAGATTGGCCCAGGAGTTCCTTGAGCTGAAGAAGGGTTCGGAGTCGGTGACTGAGATCACCAGGATGTTCACTGAGAGGGCGATGTTTTGCCCTGAGTTTTCTTCGGAGCAGGCTCAGATGTCCCGATATCTGAGTATGCTCAAGAGAGATATCAGACAGTTTGTGTCTACACAGAGGTGCGAGACTTTGTTGGAGTTGCAGGAGGCCGCCAGACGGCGGGAGTTAGAGATTGAGTTGCAGTTGCGTGAGCTGAGGCAGGCTCCGGTGCAGTCGTAGCCGGCGTCGAAACGGTCCAAGACCGTTGATTCCAAGGTAGGAGATCAGAGCAGCCACGCTTGTGGGAAGTGTGGGAGGGGTCACACCGGAGTTTGTAGGTCTGGTGGTGCATGCCGCAAGTGCGGAAAGGAGGGGCACTATGCGAGTGATTGTCGGCAGGCAACCTCGGATCGGGATTTGAGGATCTGTTATCATTGTCATCAGGTTGGGCACTTGAGGGTCAACTGTCCACAGCTTGTTGTGGGACCGGTGCAGGCTCTAGCACCGGCCACTTTGAGGATCACGGGTGGAGGTTTGTGTGGAGCGGAGCCCCCAAGGGCTTAGGGTCGTGCTTTTCAGCTTACAGCAGAGGAGGTCAGAGCAGTGTCGGATGCAGCTGCGGGTATGTTCCTTTATTGATATCTTGTGATCTTGTGATTATTGTGGAGTATTGTTTATCTGCTAGTCTCATGGTGTGGTTTTCGGTATGGTATCCGTTGTTCCTTGAGGGTTTGGTATGGTTATGGGTTAGTGTTTGGGATTTCGTTGGTTATCATTCATGAGGGTTATTAGTGGAAATCTGGCGTCTGGTTTGAATATTGGGTAGCATCTGCATTCTGAGGAGTGGTTAGCTGCAGATTGAGTTTCTTTCGAGCTCGGGATGATCAGTGATTGATATGGGATTTGGTGAAGATTACTAGTGCTAGTGGGAATCAGTTCGCGTGCAAGAGATTGTGTTGTGTAAGGCTGTTGGGGGAGGTCGGTGATGGCGACCAGTAGGTGTTGGTCAGTGCTATAAGTGGGGGAGAATTGGAAAATTCTCCGGAATATCGATGAGCATATGAGGTTGTTAGCTGTTTGGGATTCAGCAGTGTTTCTGTCAGCCGAGAGCGTAGGCTGGTATAAGTAAGTGGCAGGCATGTGAGGCAGGATACAGACCCAGGGTATTTAATTGTGGAGAGCCGGGATCAAGCCGGGTTTGAGTATGTGTGATGGAGATAGAGTTCGGAACCCCTAGAGGGATAGAACAATATGCATAGGAGGGTTTCCCGAAGAGATAACTCGGAGTGATGAATGCTAGTTGAGCGGTCCGGATAGACTGAAGGCCGATAGGCGTACCAGTTAGGCCGAAGGCTCGGAGGACGGTCCAGCCAGACTGAAGGCCCTGGAGGGCGGTCTAGATTGGCTGAAGGTTTTTAGAGTGGTCCATATTGGCTGAAGGCCTGGTAAGGTGATCCAGTCATGCTGTAGACTCTACAAGTATTGTTAGACCGGTTCGAGGAAATGGGTTGAGTATGTCGCGATGTGTTAGCATTAGAAGGTCGGGCCCCGGGTATTGATCTTGATTGGTGGAGATGGTGCATGGACTCGAGAGTCCTTGCGAGCAGATTCAGAGCATGTGTGTTGCATGGATAGCGGTTATGCTATAAGGGAGTGGTGTAGTGTTGGGCGAGCACCGTGGCACTTGTCGTAGTGACAAGGCGGCCAAATGGATTTCCTTGGTAAGGAAAGAGAGAGGAATGTAGCTCCGAGAGGGAGTGTAAATTCACGGAAGTGAAAGCAGCAGCGTAGAGTTATGATTGGAGTGGTCCAATTATGGTCATTGAGCAGCGTGATTGCGGCAGTGGTATGGGATCACATCCGGATTGGATGTCTGCTGAGGTCGCGGAAGGAATTCTGCGGGTGTAGAGCCAAGAGGCTCGGAAGTGATGCAGGGATGGAGTCTTGGACTCCCAGTTTGATTCTGATCAAGGAATTGTGTGTGTAGTGGTGGTTCATCCTGGGGGATGTTGGAGGTATCGTCAGTGTGACGGGTTTTTCCAACCCGAGGATGCTAGGGTCAGTTCAGT